CTCGGGGACCAGTTGCGCAGTACATACAAACATACAAAGACATTCACGGCCGTCGGATGGTTATGCTAATCTGACATAGTCAATCGGGTTCCCCATACTCGGAAACCTCCGCCTCGGGCGCGATCACATCGCTGCCAGGATCCACGTGTAAATGTATCGTTGTCTATGAATATCCTTTTCTTCTAATGAAATTAATCCGAGAGTGGGCACTCGCAAGGAAAGCGACAGCCGGATGACAGAGTCGGCGCATGCGCCGTAAGAGCATCCAAGGCTCTCTGGAGAGATGATGTGCCGCTGCCACGGGCAAGTTCTCACCTCAGCTGGCGCGGTCACGGTCTCGGTCAAAAACCATCTCTGGCAAGCCGTATCGATGCAAGACAATCAATCCACCTCACGGAGGCATCCATCTTGCTCGGGCCAAGTTACTCTCTCTTCTGCCGATCTCGAGCCCTGCACGATCAACCGTGTCGGGACTCGATAAAAAATATAAAGAAGTATTAGGGATTCACGCATCCCGGTGTTCATGCTCAGACTCGTCATAGAGTCGATACATAAGTGCGCCATAGCTCTCGGACTTTTCCCTCGATATCTACAGTGTCTTCATTGGCTAGGGGAAAACTCGATAGTGTCGGCCACAGAAAGCATCTTCCCCAACGGGATATCCACTTGCAGATAGACGGCCACGAGATTTCCTCCCAGCGAACTGTTAAATACCTTGGCCTCATGTAGGATCAGGGCCTCACGGGGACCCCGCATGTTCGATACGCCTCGCAGAAGGCCCTCAAGGCGGCGAACGCCATCGCTCGGCTCCTCCCTAGGCGCCGGGGGGTCGGGGACCACCGCCGTAGGGTGCTCGCCTCCGCCGCGGACAGCATAGTGCTCTACGCCGCCCCTATCTGGGCGGAGACTATCCGTAAGAAGACTGTTAGAAGAATGCTGGACAGAGCCCAACGACCCATGTCCACAAACATATCAGCTCCGACTAAAACTCGATAGACTGTATGAGTGCGAGTTCGATGAACCGCAACATGTGGAATCTGAAGAACGTCACTGGAGAGCCTTCCGCAACGATGTGAGCGACCGCATCAGAACATTCACTGACAGGGAATGGAGGGAGAACATGGAAACCAAACCGAGCCTGAAAAGATACAGGCAACACAAAATGAACAGGGGCACAATCGATCATGTATATGACAACACAAGAGGGAGTACCCTCCTGGCAGGGGCCCGAGCCGGTTTCCTCAACACAAACTCCTTCAGAGCCAGGTTCGAAGAAATAGATGGAAAGTGTGAGCTGTGCGACTGCCACAACGAAACCCTGGAACATGTCATCATGGAGTGCGACGAAGAGAATAGCTCTGAGCCAGAGATCCGCAAAAGACTAGGCCTACACGAAGACTCAACACGGGAAACTGCAGAGCGAACAAAAAGAAGTCTAGAAAGATGGGAGCGGGAGACGAAGAGATATATATGTCCCCTGCAAACGTCGGATCAACCAACCTATAACCAGCTGAGAAGACTCGCCCCCGCGCATGGGGTCTCCTGGTTACAATGTAAACCTTGTAACACCAGGGATGGTTAATAAATCAATCAATCAATCAATCGATACTTCCAGCCGCATACGAACGCGCTCCACAGGAATACCAATAACTTCTTCGTCGGCAATCCTGCCAACAGGAACCCGAACACGTCAAAAAATACTCAACAAAAAATCGATAAGTCGTGCATCTTCTGTGGGGACGACCACGACAGTTTTAGATGCAAAGCGACGCTCACGTACGAGGAGCGCCGCGAACGGGTCATTCAGCAAAACACCTGCTGGATTTGCCTGAAGAGAAACCACGCATCGAAAAACTGTCGAGACGGTCCGAAGACGAACTGCTCGAAATGTTAAGGAAAACATTACATCATCATGTGTAAGAAGGCACAACTGGATACCTCTTCTTTCCTCACAACGTCCGGGACCCTCAAGATGCACGACGACCGTGGAGACATAACGGAACCGGATATCTTACTCCCGTTGGCGACAGCATGGATAGGAACCGGCGGGAAAAGATCTCGCGCCCGAATTCTACTCGACTGCGGATCTCACAGGTCCTACATCACCACGGAAGCGGCGAAACGGATAGGAGCTGTCCCAACAAACGCCGTCAGGACTTCCGTTAAAACCATGGGGAACGTCATAACGACGCTGGACACATGGCTTCATCGAATCGTCATCTCAAGCCAACACGATCCGAAGTCGAACATCACTCTCGAATGCATCGAAAACCCATCGATAACGGATTCGGACTTCCCAGAAGTCACCAACAACTTCGGACTACTCCCAATAGCCGACGAAAGGAAAGACGTAGAACCTCCGAAAGTGATTTTAATTGTCATCGGAGCAGCGGATCTAGCCAGCATTTATACTGGAAAAATGGAAAAATACTGGTGGATGTTAGCGACATCCTCTATCTTCGGCTGGATTTTCAGTGGAACTCTGAGAGAATCCCCTTTCTCATCAGACACCTCAACCCTGCTCTGCGAATTGAGAGCCTCATTGCCGACAATGATATCAGCCAGCCTCGAGGGAAACCCAACTCAGATTACGAGAAAAAACCAACTCAACACCACGGAAAAGGCCCGGACACATCGATCGACAACGATCTGAAGTTCCTGTGGGAGGGAGAGTTCCTAGGAGTGGATTCATCGATCTCAGATGAGAAAGACGCGCTAACGGAGGAACTCGACAAATTTTTCGGTGCAACGGTTGAAAGGAAACTCGACGGACGACTCAGGCTGAGTCTCCCTTTCATGGACAACCTCGATACCCTAGGCGACAACGAAAACCTAGCCCGATCGCGACTCCATTCATTTCTGAAGAAGCTGAAGAAAACCCCGGAAAAGCTAGCAGCAGTTGATAAAGAGATCAGAGAATATCTCTCCAACGGCTTCGCGGAAGAAGCTCTACCTCGTCAGCGGAATCAATTGGCACACTATCTACCGCTACAAGCAGTCTTCAAGATGAACAACGATAACTCGAAGATCACGAAGACACGAGTGGTCAAAGACGCCGGAGCACGGAGGAGCCACGAAGCAGCACTCAACTGCTGTTTGCATCAAGGCGAAAACCTACTTTCCCTAGTGCCGAAAGACCTCATCGCGTTTCGGGAATGCAAATTCGCCATTACCGCCGACATTGAAAAAGCTTTCCTACAGTTCGAGATCAACCCGAGTGACCGAACTTTTCTCAGATTCCTGTGGCCACTCGGTATCGCCGAGAAACCAGACGCCCCCATCAGGGAATTTTGGACGAGAGTTCTTGATTTCGGACTGATCTGTTCGCCATGGCTACATATCAAAGGGGTGAAGCACCACTTGAAGGACTGCCTTCAGTCATCCCCCGAGGACCAAGATTTCATCACAGAAATCGCGGATAACCTGAACATGGACGATGTATGTTTCGGGGTAGACTCCCGGGAAGAGGCGAGAAACAACATTGCCAAGCTGTTCGATATATTCCAGAAAGCTCACTTCCCTCTCCGAAAATGGTGCACGAGCGACAGATTCATCGCGGAAATCATCGAGGAACTGTCGCCACTCGAGAACACTACAATCACAGCCGGCACCGACGACGCTAAGTTTCTTGGAGTGAGATGGTATCACTCATCGGATAGTCTCGGTGTTTTCTCGCAGAGAGCTCTGACGGAACTCAATACGAACAACCCATCCAAGAGAAAACTCCTCAAAGGGCTCGCACAGATTTACGACCCTCTCGGCATCATGTCACCCGTCACAGTAAGAGCGGAAATACTGTTCCAATCCCTATGGAAGAGAAAGATCGACTGGGACGACATCCTCCCAGAAGACATCAGACTCAGCTACGAAGATTTCGTCTCCACGCTGAAGAGATGCGCAGAATTCAGGATAAACAGACCGCTCAGCTCGCTGTTCTCGACAGCGAGTTTCGAACTACACACGTTCTGCGACGCGTCACTGGAAGCGTACGGGGCAGTGATCTACTTGAGAACGATCGGAAACAACTCAACGGAATCAAGACTCATAATATCGAAGCCACGAGTCGTACCCACGAAAGCAAGATGGTCGATTCATCGCTATGAACTCATGGGAGCCCTGATGGCCGCGCGCATGACGGCCGACATCAGAAACTTCCTGAAACTCAAAATCGATCAAGAGTAATACTGGATTGACAATATGGCTTGTGTCTCCTGGATTCGCAGCACACCTGAAAAATGGCAACCATTCGTCGCGAATCGTGTCCGGGAAATCGGCAAACTAACGTCCCCCGACTCATGGAGATATGTCAAATCAGAGGAAAACCCCGCAGATATATTATCTAGAGGTGCAGATATCTCAGATCCAGAGGGCCGTTCTCGATGGCTCCATGGACCCCAGTGGTTGACCGACCCGAACTGGAGGATTCCTATCGATCAACCCGCAATCGGAGAATCGAACGAAGAAAGGAAATCGCAGACGCCATATGCCTCCACACCGTTCACAACAAGGAAGACGATCCGATCGACAAACTCCTCCACCCAACGCGTTTCTCTTTGTGGTCGAAATTCGTGAGAGCGCAAGCTTTCTGCAACCGGTTGAAAACGCTCGCCCGAAAAATTAAATCCAAACAGTTACACCACAGGAATTCGACTCGCATTACCACCCTCAATCGAGCCGACGGACTACGGATAAAACCAGCGGAATACGAGGAGGCAGAATCTGATAAGGAGGATCCAAAAGAGACACTTCCCGACAGAGGTCTCGACAAGCGGCAAAGATATTCCGAAGACGAGTACCATCGCGCAGTCCCAACCCTTCATGGATGTTAACGGCATCTTGAGGATGAGATCCCGTCTGGAGAGATCCAACGATCATTCGTACGACCAAAAATACCCGGTAATCATTCCAAGCGAAGATGGCTGGGGCAAATTGATCGCGCTCTCTGTTCACGGCAGAGAGTGCTGGCACTGGGGCGGCATCGCGATGACTCGACAAAAACTCAGGGAGAAGTACTTCATTCTGAAAGCTAGAAGAATCGTCTATGAGACATTAAAGACGTGTCCGAGCTGCAAACGCTACAACGCCAAACCAGCCGCTGAGCCGACTCCACCACTGCCAGCCTTCAGAGTCGAAACCACACCGCCGTTTCTCTTCACAGGCGTGGATTTCGCTGGTCCTTTCGCATACAAAAAGGAAAACGGAGAGAAGGCGAAAGCGTGCATCCTGCTGTTCACCTGCGCCGTCTCGAGAGCTATCGCACTCTTCCTCACTAAAGACCTGTCGACATATGAGGTGTTGAATGCTTTACAAAAATTCATCAACCGTTACCCATCAGCGAAAAACTTCGTCTCGGACAACGGAGCGTCTTTTCGGCGCGCCGATTTGGAAATTAAGTTGATATACAACCACATTTCGAGAGGAGACATCTCATCATGGCTCACAGACTCGAAATTGACATGGAATTTCATCTCACCCGCAGCACCATGGGTCGGCGGTTTCTGGGAACGAATGGTTGGCTGCGCCAAACGCTGCCTGAAGAGGACCCTCGGGACAACCATCCCATACTTCGGAGACTTCGAGGTTATCCTCTCAGGCGTAGAAGCTATAATCAACCAAAGACCGTAAACGACGGTCTCAACCGACCCGAACGAAGTTCGAGCACTATCGCCAGCAAACCTGTTATACGGCTACGACGGCAACTCACGACTGCCGGAATGGAAAGAAATCCAGAAGCTACGGAAAGACATCGGAGCTATCGTTTTCTCGAAACGGTGGAATTTCCAACAGAAGATATTATCGGCATTCTGGAAACGGTTTCAAGCAGAGTACCTCGCATATCTACGAACAGCGCACTCAAGGCGACCGGTCAAGCAACGCTCACTCCAGCTCGGAGAGATCTGCATTCTGAAAGAAGAGAACACCCCGAGAAGTCACTGGCCGCTAGTCCGCGTCGTAGAGCTACACAAGAGCTCCGCGGATCACCGTGACCGGACCTGCACCATAAAATTCAGTAACGGGAGAACTCGATTGAGACCGGCAAAACTTCTATACCCGTTGGAACATGAAGCGCCGGACCCCCTACAATGAAACGAACATGAGATCACGTGTTCCGTTACCGGCGGAACACCCAGTCAAGGGGACTGATGACCAGCATTAGAGAATAGTGAAAAGGAAATATATGTTTATTTACAATCGAAATACGATCATAACACGGCAGAAACTCAGTCGGATTCATCGCTGGAAGCCTCCTCGATTCGTATGTCGAACTCCGGATCGCTATCACCGGCATCGGGGGGCTCTTGCCGAATCCCAGTGAACTTCACCAGGGTTTTGGATACGTCCCGAGTGTGAGGACTACGTGCACGCCTCACATATCTCTTGGCCAGCCGTTGACTCGCCACAGCTTTTCGGGCCGACTCGGGATTAGCCCGCTCGCGACACAACGGATTTAGCGGCACGCGTCGCTTTTCTCCAGCGGGATCCCGGAACAACTTTCGTCACACGCAGGACCCCATCCGCGGGGGGGAGGGCGGGCCGAGCCCAGAGCGGTTCGGGCCGAGCCCAGAGCGGTTCGGGCCGACGGACGGCAGCTTTCGCTTTCGGGGAATCCAGGGGGATATACTCGGGAAGTGGGGCCGGTGGACGACGTTTCGAATCTACGACAAGCCCGCGGGGCCCAGCCACATCCTCCGCAGAATCCGAACACTCCGTCGACAAAGATTTCGCGTCGTTCGCGACATCCGGGGCCCCTTCAATTTTCTTCGCGAGAGCGACGACTGCAGGCCCACTGGGCTCCATCATTGCTCCGACTGATTCTGGACTTTCTTTCCTCGGCAACTTCGTGGCGTTAGCGATGCCCGATTTTTCTTCTTCTTTCGTCGCGGAGATGGTCACTATAGCGGGCGGTGTCGATAACACCGCCTTCTTGATAACCTCACCGGCAGGTGCGAGTTCATGGGACCCGCTGTTTTCCACCTCGGCCTCGGGGAAAGCGCTCACCGGTTCGACCTCGGGAGTAGCATCCTCATTTTCGTCACCCGCTGCCGGCACAAGGGAAAGCACTCGGTGTCCCGCGAGCATGGTCTCCTGCCGACGCGCGAAATCCCCGGACGTTTGGGCTGGAGCGCCCACGGGATGAGCCCCGACCCGACGCAGTGCCGTCGAACGACGATAAAACGGCTCCCGCTCAGACGGAGCCATCGCCTCCCAGACGGTGATCATTTCTTCCCGGATCTCGTCCCAGGTCATAGCAGCGTAACCAGGGTCACGAACTCGGTGATCGCAAAGGTACACCCCGTAGGGGGAGTTCTGGAACGTGCGGCGGCTCGCACAGGCATGCTTCTTCTTCTTTCGGCGGCGCTCTTCGGTCGGAAGCTCAACGGGAGGACTCGACGGAGGTCTCCGGGAGCGCTCATCGCGACGTCTTTCGTCCTCTTCATTGTCACGACCGCGGCGACCGGCTACCACCGCACGAACTCCAAAGTTGAGCATGATGAGAATTTTACGAGTCGATCAAGACACTGAGGCAGGAGCGTACCGCCGATCACCAGAAACGGGAACGGAATGATCTCGGAATGGCTGGTGCAGAGCGAAGACGGAGGAGGACGGACGGAAGGAAAAGTGAGACAAATGTGTCAAGTGCTTCCGATCGATTTCGATGTGACATTGTTTCAACGCGGAAGGCATGAGAGTTCACGGAGACCTCTTCCCGGAAGGCATGTTGTCGACATCAACCCGGGGGAATGTCACATACGGACAAGTCGCATGGTGATCGAATCGGGGAGGCCGGCTAATTAGTTGGATGGAGAATAAAAGCGCGCCACAGAGAGGGTTATGCGGAACAGGGTCTAGGAGAGAAGGAAGAACGATAACAACATTGCAAGTTGCAACCCGGTCCGGTCGTTCCCGACGACCGGAAGACTCGAAAAGGGATTTTGTTCATTCAAAACCCTCCGTGTCACACCCTCTCTGAAGCCCATCTGTGAACCGAACTTCAGTGCATTCATCCATAGTAGTTTTTGAGGGGTCCATCCGTGACAGTTGCTGACAGCTATCGAGCATTGTTTGGTGAACCAGGGTTTGAAGTTGGAAGAAGTTTTGCGGGTAGAGTGAGGAATGAATAGTTCCATGCCAAGGAGGATAATGCCAGTTATGGTAGATGCGCATTCGGAGACATCTGATGTCTTGAAACAGTGAGAGATCCAAGGAAAGGAGGAGAAGAAGGTGCGCAGCTTCTCCCAATAAGCTGACTCATAGTGCCAGACATTTTCACAGGTTGATTTTAATTTTCGAAGAGGAGAAATTGGTCGGATTGCTTTGATGAGAGTTGGCAAAGTAGCTGACAAGAAGTCTCGCAACGACGAGATCCAGAGAGATCGAGAGGCGAGTCGCCAGTCAGAACAACGAGGTTATATTTGACTGTAAGGTCGACGAGGAGACCTCAGGCTATTTATTGATAATGGGGAGCATGCGCAATCAAGAGCTGACTGCGTTATCTCCAACACTCCCACTCGGAGGCAGCATCTTGATTCCCAATTTCTCTCGCATACTCTCGAACTTGTGACCAGGAAGTGCCTTGGTAAGAATGTCTGCGAGCTGCTCGTCAGTGGGAACATGGCGCACGGAAATTTCTTTAGCTTCACACCTCTCACGTACATAGTGGAACTTTATATCGATGTGCTTGGTCCTATCGTGTTGGATCGGATTAGAAACCAAGAGCTCAGCCGCAACATTGTCCAAATACAGAACCGTCGGCGCTTTCTGGACAAAATCGAGTTCTTCCAACAAACCCCTCAACCAAGACACATCTCTAGAACATGTGTACGCGGCTACATACTCGGCATAGGTAGTCGAGTCCGTAACAACCGACTGCTTCTTCGACCGCCACCCGACAAGACCACCATTCATCAGAAGACATACTCCACTCACTGACTTTCTTGAAACTGGATCACAAGCCCAACTCGCGTCACTGTAGGCGACGAGCTGATTTCTTGCCGCAGCATCAGTGTAAACGATGCCGGAGTCCAAGTTTCCCTTCAAATACCTCAAGACTCGTTTGGCACTTATCCAGTGCTCTTTCGACGGAGACTCGCAGAACTGGGAAAGCTGATTCACTATATAGGCTATCTCGGCTCTTGTCCCAATCGCTGCATACATGAGACACCCAATCAGCTGCCTGAACGGAGCATCGAACGCTGCCAACATTTTCCCGTCCTCATCCACGTTTCTCTTCAGCTGTTGATCCACACAATAGGGAGTGCCGACAGGATTGCAGTCTATCATGGAAAATCGTTCGAGCACTTTCTTGAGATACGACGACTGATGGATTCTCAGGGTTCTATGCGGGCGATCTCTGTGGATCTGAATCCCAATGAAGCAATCTGGTTCTCCCGTCGTCATCTTGAACGTTTTTCTCAAATTTGCAAGGAACGAATCAATCACTGATCTCGATGGGGCAATACACAGGCCATCAACGACGTAGAGAGCGAAGAGCAGACTATCTCTTCTTCTCACGAAAATGCACGAATCACGAGCGCATGGCTCCAGACCGAGATCCTTCAAAACTGCTGAGATCCTTCTGTTCCACTGCAACGGAGCTTGACGAAGGCCATAAAGAGCTTTTTCCAACTTACACACTCTCCCACTATTGTCGTCGTAGCCCTCCGGCTGATGCATGTAAATCTCTTCATCCAACTCACCATACAGGAAGGCAGTCGTTACGTCGCATTGCAGCATCTCGAGATCATTTGCAGCCACCAGGGACAAGAGACACCGGATCGATGTCATTTTCGATACTGGAGAATAAGTTTCAAAGAAATCGATACCAGGTTTCTGTGAGCTTCCTTTCACAACCAGACGAGCTTTATAACGATCCACCGACCCACCTGGGCGGAACTTGATGCGGAAAACCCACATGGATCGAATGACGTTTGCTCCAGCGGGGCGCTCAACCAATCTCCAAGTCTTATTCTGCATTAGAGAGCTGTATTCACTCGCGGCAGCCTTCTCCCACTGTTCTGCGTCGGGAGACTCCATGGCTTGGCTGTAAGTGATCGGACACTCCGAGACTGAGTTCACTAGAGCCACCGAATCCATCGTACAATCCAAATCAACTTCGGACCCGGAAGGCTTGGCCTCTGAACTAGTAGCCAACGATGGACTTTCCTGCGGCTCAGTTCGAGTCAAGCTCGAAGGAGTCTCCGACGTAGAACCGATCTCATCAGCGCTCTCACGGTTACCGAGTACGGCAACACGTTTCGGTACCAGCTCCACAAAACGAACGTCCCGTGATATCTTGACACTCTTCGAATTCGGCAGCCACATTCTATACGATCGGGATTTCTCATCATAACCGACGAGAATGCGTCTTTCACTCTTGGCATCTAATTTATCGCGTTTACAAGCCTCGACATGGACATATCCTACACTGCCCCATATACGTAGATGCCTGACCGAAGGCTTGGTTCCATGCCAGAGTTCGTAACCACGTTCTGCTACCATCGCCGAACTTATTTCCTCCAGAACTCGACATCTCATGCGATACAGTTGACCGCTACCTTCCCGATCTCCAATGGCTACCTTTTCTCCGTTACGAGCCACTATCAGGCCATTTTCCGAGAATACCG